CTTATAAGTGATCCATCAGGTAAAATATGACATGCAAATAAACTGAACTATAAAAAAGCTTTCCAAATGCATGTCCAAGGTCAATGCCCATACAAACAAATTATGAAATTAATTGGCATCCTGCCACCTTTTTCATTCCCTTCTCTGATGATCCTCTATACTTTCCCATTCCAAATACTTATACCCAAATCTCATTAACCACTACAGTCAACTAGTAGCCAATTAATAAGAGATGTGAGTTAGAAATGGTCCCAGAGGTATCTGAATCTGAATGTAAATCATTTGAAAAATAAATAAACTTTCAATCAACCTCAAAGGCAGCTCTTCTCAACCTTAGCTGTGCATTAGAATTACCTAGGGAGCTTTTAAAAATCTGATGCCCAGGCCACACTCCTAAGGAATTAAATCAGAATATTTAAGGGTGGTGCCAAACACAGAATTGTTTAAAGTTCTCCAGTAATTCGAATGTGCAGCCACAGTTGAGATCCATTGCTTTAGGGAAAGCATTTGAAACAATGAATTTTCAAGCTTAGTGAAGAAGCTATTTTTAAATGGGGATACATCATGTGGCTCTGTTGAGGTTGCCAACTAGTGAAAACGCTCTGTTCAAGGTAAAGACCATTTTTATTAAGAAAGAAAATGCTACCTTTTAAAAATCACTAGAGACTCAATTTCTAATTCCTAATTTCAGCAAGTTACTTCACTTGAGTTTTACCTACAAAATATAAATAATAATATCAATGTCTACCTCATGGTGCTGCCAAGAATGACCAAATGAAACAGAGCACCAGAAAACGTTTTTCAAACTATAAAATTGTATTTATTATTACAGAGCTCAACCATTTATCATTAAAAAGACTAGTTGTAATGTGGATTACAACTATAATGTAGATTATTACCTAAAAGATTTATCACTTTGTGTTAATAGACATTAGCTTGATAAAACCTATGTGTCTACCCAATGATTCTCAAAGTCTGGTTTCTGAACCAGTAGCAGCAGCATCACTGGAAACTTGTCAGAAATGCAAATTCTTGGAATCTATGCCAGACCCACCAAATCAGAACCTGGAGGCAGAACCTAGCAATCTTGTTTGAACAAACTCTCTAGGTAATGTTGATGCACACTAAAATCTGAGAACCCCATATCTAGCCAAACATTAGTAAAAATGGAATATGTATGACTAAAATCAAAGGATGAATGTACAGTGTTTGTTATTTGAAGCTTTAGAAGTCAGAGTGCAAAGGCATACTGGCATAAATTACTTGTAGATAAAAAAACACTCCTAAATCTTTGTATTTTAAAATAATACAATTCTTACTGCCCAGCCAACCTTTATCAATTGACACATTAATCATGAATACAATGGTAGTATATAAATTTGGGAGTCAGATAAACTACAGAGCATTCAATAGTTTGGATAAGAAATAAAAAAACAAAAACTCTATTTGAAGTAACAGTGGTTCAGAAAATAGCCAACTTTTAATTCATGGGCTTGGGTTTCACTCAGAGGAAGAGTTAAAACTGTATCCTAAAAATCACATTTATCCTGAAGACAATACCCCATAGCATGTCTATGTTTTCATTCAGGCTAAGGAAGTGTTTCATCACTGACTCAGAGAAAAGACCATTACTTGGACTTAATCACCAGCAATGTTTCCTGAAGCATTAGATTTGTCATTGGGTCTGCTAAGCAACCGAAAAACAGTCTCAAAACTTCTTATCTTCAAAGATCTCACAAGAAAAAACTATCAATATTGCTCTCAAACACAAAGTCCAAACATGCAGGTTAGCAATAGGTAAGAACATTGAGGAGTCTTGTAAGATTGCAATAGAAAGTTCTTTGAGATCTTGTTTTCTCTTTTTCCATTTAAAAAGATTTTGACAGCCTTAAGACACATAACACCACTCTGGAAAGACTAGAGTGAAGTATACCAATTGAGAACTAACTTTAGTATCCATCCTTAGTTACTTAGTAAAAAAACTTCGTAGAACTGACTTTTTCCTGGAAGATTCCTTAACAATAGATGAAGTTCCATTTACTACTACCAAGCAGATAACTGGTTCCCTCTTTGATCAAGATTTCCAAGTCTCAAAAGATTTCCTCAATCATATGCTTCCTGTATTTAAAGAACTTGGAGGTTAAAAATTGGGGGTATGTGTAAGTAGAATAACTCCAATAATTGATATTGGTATTCTATATCATAGGAAATATTTCCCACCTATTCAGAGTAAAGAAAACAAAAGAGAGGAGCTTGGTTTTACTTATCCATGCTAACCAAAATTATATTGTGTCTTTGTGGCAATCCTTTAGCTCCACCTCATGAGAAAAACAGCAATTATAAGCTCTCATTTTCCACAATGGGAAGAACTAGAACAAATATATAATTGCCAAAATAATTCCTTTTGTTCATTCACTCATCTACAAATATTAATTGAGTGCCTAATATGTGCCAGACATTGTTGTAGGTGCAAAAGAATCTAGAGAGATGCACAGACTTCAATGATGAGGGTGTGGATTCTATGTGTCTAGAGTGCTAGGCTTTAAATTTCTCTGTCAACCAAGACCAGTGGTTCTCAAACTGACCAAGCATCAGAAGCACCTGGAAGGCTTGCTAAAACATAGATTGCTGTGCTCCATCCAGACAGTTTCTATTCAGTGGGTTTGAGATAGGGTCCCAAAATTAGCATTTCTAATAAATTCTCAAGTGATGTTGATGCTGCTGGTCTAGGGACCACACTTTGAGATCCACTTACCAAGACAAATGGGAGCTCTTCACACTAAGCCTGCCAACTTTCAAGTACTGTACATCTCTCTTCCAAAGAAGGCAATGACCCCATGAATGCTGTCACAATCACTTACAACTGAGCACAATTCCAATTCCCAGAACCACCTCAAATATCTCTGATTAGTAACTTCAGAGAGAAGAGAGAAGTAAAAATAACAAAGAAAAGAAAATTCTCTTTCCAGGGGCTTTTTGCCCTCCTTTTCTTTTGATTTATCACTTATCACAAGAAGTTACTTTTCTAATATGATTTCTCAATACATGTGCTATGGAAAAGAATAACACTCATTTAGATTTTTCATATTTCTTTAAGAAAATCAAGGCTTTTCTTTTAAATTCACTCTTCATGACCTATTTTTCTCCTTTTTTTGGACTATCCCCTTTTTGAACAAAAGAATCATAGGGTTAGAAGGAACATTGAGAATTCATTTCATCCCTCCTTGGCCTCAGACAAAACTATGTCTAAATCATCCCCAAATATAGCAATTTTTAGTACAAATAGACCCTAAGAATTTGCCATTCAACTTTCTGTCACATTCTTGAAGATACACTTTCCCTCAGCCTTCTTTTCTCTAAGTTATCAACCTCAACACTTAGACTTTTCTCATTAGATTTCCTAAACTTTAAATGATTTTAATTCTTTTAAAATAAGTTTATCTCATCTTACCTAGGACCTGACTTATGTATGTACTGTTAAGGGGAAAGTATCGATTGAATAAAAAATGAATGTAATTGGAAGAAATCTATATGTATAAATGCCACTAACGAATAATACAATGGCATTCACTTGAATAATTCATTTTAAATATCCTTTATTTTATTTAAAAAAACTAGTAATGTCCTATACTTTTTATATCTTTGCATTACAAGTCACCAACCATTTCTCACATAAAATGGATGGGAATTAGAAATTTTTAAAAATATGCCACAAATTATACATACCATGTTTCATGATACTTCACACAGAAGAAAACATTATTATTATTTGCTTTTTTATTTTAGACAGTGCTTACTACTGAATTTGGGGTTGTAGTTAATGATTTACTTCTGTATGAGTCCAAAAATACTAAATTTATTATATGAAATTCATTTCTGTGAAAATAATTTCTCTGATTCAATCCTTGCAAGTCAGAGGTGTCAGAGATTCACTGAGTATAGGACAAGATTGGATAAAGTTCACGTTAAGTGATAGGTTTCCAAGAAGTTTAGAAAGGAAAAATTGGTAATACATTGGAATATGGGGTAAAATGGGATTATTCATTTTATTTCAATTTCTCCCTTTCTAAATATAACTATTCAAAATTTAGTCTTTGCTTTCAGAATGGTGAGGCGCTTTAGTCTAGTGTAGGCCTGAAGGATAGGATTGTTTCTCTGCCTATTGCAATCAAGGTGTACGGTGGAGGCGATGCATTTAGTCTCCAGAGAGAATGAAGATGCTGCTTGCACAGCACTTCTACTCACCAGTCCATGCAGCAGCAAAGGTGTTGGCTTTGAAGGAAGCCAACTGTCCTGCTCTCCCAGCCAGAGGTAAAGAATTGCATTGGTGGCCACTAGAGGGAGGAGGATTAGGAATAGAGTAAATTGTGGGGAAAAGGTACCCATGAAAAAAGCACATGGGACAACCAACACATCACCAACCACCGCCTAGCAGCTACCTCTCTGAGGGACTATACTAGGGGTCAGCATACACCATTAACCCAGAGACCCAGACACCAGTAATGATTGTAGTATCCTGGTAAAGAGCCCCTTAACTTTGATGGCAGGAGAAGGGAGGTTGAGTACGATAATGGGAAACACACAAGCACACAAACACACAAGCACACGGACATACATTCTCATGCCCAATTACAAGAAGCTGTATCTGTGCCGCCTGATTCTTGCCCATTTTCTTATTTAAAACTCTTGATGTTCTTTACCAAGAATGTGTTCACGAAAAGCAAATAGCCCACCTTCAAGTTAGTCTTGGGAGAAGCATCAGCAGAGACACTCATTGTGCCAAGATGTATTTTACCAACAAATCTGTACAAATTACATGAGGTTAAAAACAAATGGAATATAATATAATTAAAGCAAAGTTTCTTTTGCTAAATTACAGCTTGGAGCAAACCTGCAAGAAATGTTTCCAATTAGCTTCTTTTGCAAACACAAAGCATAGCTCACAACATGTTTTGCTTTCCATGCTGCCCTCTGGGTGGGCTGCCTAGTGGTTGTCTCACCTCCAGCACAAGTAGTGGAGCATTCTGACCAAGGCTGATGATTCCAGGTAAAGCCAATATCACTGTCTCCACTGCCAGTCCGAGTGATAGGAACATTGAACTTATACGTAATTCCCTCATACGATTCTTGATAAAGAACCTGCCATTGAAAACAACTGGTGAAGATAATTAAAATACAATGAGCCTTCATTCAGATACTTATTATTTCTTTTGAAGAAGATAATGCCATAAAGTAAGCCTTATAAGAAATTTAAGATAACTTTTAGAACACATGCACTTATCTTGAATTTTCTCCTTCCATTTTCATAGGTAATTTAGAGCCATTTCTTTCATCTACCTTGTTTGGTTGTAAAAATATTATTCAACCAAGCAATGAAATTGTCAAACATTCATACGGGAGAGCACTCTGGCTTTACCTTTACAAGGATTTTAAACACTTGGGCAAACCATTTCACCTTTATTTACCTAATTTATCTATAAAGCAGAGAAAATAAAGAGGCAAAGACACATTTACCATGACAATGAGATTTGTCGTGGTGGGACCTGGAGCTACCAAGGATTCCGGTTCATCAGTTGGTCTCTTGTAGCGAAAAGTTGTCCCAGCAGCATCAAACTTCTTAGGCCAGTCAATAGTCCAACCACAATTAAGATAGTATTCATCTGTTTCAGATTTTAAAGCTAAAAAAAAAAATCACAGTACACCTAAAAATATGAAACTTCATTTACCACAGTGTCACTGGTAAATAACTGCACTGAAGTATTCAATGAATATTCATTTCTATTTAGAGATGGAATTCTTGACTATTTTCTAAAGTAAAAATTAAAATGGTAATTTTCCATGTGAATGCCAAGAAGATATTAAGTATTTATGATGTCATTGAGAGAAAGGAATAAAATGTTACCTGGAGAAATAAACATATGGAACTAGCAAGGAAAAGTATGACAAAAGAAATAACTAGGAATGGGAGAGATGGAGGAAGCAGACTTTCCTGTCTAAATATTAAAAAGTAATTATATGAATATGGGGTGGGAGAAACTATAGTACTGGCACCCAGACAGACAACAACGCAACCAAACAGTCAGTTAAGAAATAACAATCAATAAACAAAAAAACAACAAAGCATCTTAAAGTATATGACAAAAGAAGCATCTTAAATTAGTTTTAAAAAAAGATAACAAGATATGAAACCAAGACAAAAAACTAGCCATTTGGCAAATAATAAATTCAGCATTATGATGATGATGATGATGATGATGATGATGATGATGATGAATTTATATTTTGTTTGTTATAAGTACCACAATTCCACTCTTAGGTACATATCCAAAAGAAATGAAAATAGGTACTCAAACAAATATTTGTACATACATGTTTATAGTAGCACTGTTCTCAATAACCAAAAGTGGAAACAACTCAATTGTCCATCAATGGATGAACGAATAAACAATTTGTGGTGTACACAATACAATGAAATATTATTCAGCTATTAAAAGAAGTACTAATATATGTTTCAATAGTTATGAATTTCAAAAACATTATGCTAAGTGGAAAAGGCTAGACAGAAAAAGTCACATATTGTAAACTGCCATTTATATGAAACTAGAGGCCTGGTGCACAAAATTTGTGGGGGGGGGAGTGGGGGGGGGATGTGTGTCCCTCAGCCCAGCCTGCCCACTCTCCAATCTGGGACATCCCTCTCACAATCCAGGACTGCTGGCTCCCAACCGCTCGCCTGCCTGCCTGCCTGATTGCCCCTACACAAAATTTGTGCAGGGGGGGAGGATGTCCCTCAGCCCAGCCTGCACCTTCTCCAATCCGGGACCTCTCGCAATCCAGGACCACTGACTCCTGACCATCCCTCCCCTGCAGGTCTGGTCACCCCCAACAGCCTTCCCCTGCAGGCCTAGTCGCCCCCAACTGCCCTCCCCTGCCGGCCCGCTTGCTCCTAACTGCCCTCCCCTGCAGGCCTGGTCGCCCCCAACTGCCCTCCCCTGCCGGCCCGCTTGCTCCTAACTGCCCTCCCCTGCAGGCCTGGTCGCCCCCAACTGCCCTCCCCTGCCGGCCCGCTTGCTCCTAACTGCCCTCCCCTGCAGGCCTGGTCGCCCCCAACTGCCCTCCCCTGCTGGCCTGATTGCTCCTAACTTCCCTCCCCTGCTGGCCTGGTCGCCCCCAACTACCCTCCTCTGCAGGCCTGGTTCCCCCAAACTGCCCTCACCTGCTGGCCTGGTTCCCCACAACTGCCCTCCCCTGCAGGTTCAGTCACCCCTAATTGCCCTCCCCTGCTAGCCTGTTCGCCCTCAACTGCCGTCCCTTTCAGGCCTGGTTACTCCCAACTGCCCTCCCCTGCCGGCCATCTTGTGGCAGCCATCTTTGACCACATGGGGGTGGCCATCTTGTGTGCTGGAGTGATGGTCAATTTGCATATTACCTCTTTTATTAGATAGGATATCCAGAATAGGTAAATCCAATAGAGACAGAAAGCAGATTGATGGTTACCAGGGGTTGAGGAATGGGGAGTAACTGCTTAATGGACACAAGGTATTTTCTGGGGTGATGAAAATATTTTGGAATGTACCAAATGCCACTAAATTGTTCACTTTAAAATGGTTGAGTTCTATTTTATGTAAATTAAACCTCAATTTAAAAAATGGTTTAAAAAGAGAGAAATAATAAATGCCAGCTGGGTAAGTATTTGAAATTAAACAGTTGAATCATAAAATGCTGGGAGAAAACATGGCAGATCTTTTAAAAAATAACACTGGGATATAAAAAGCTTTTTTAAGTATGACAAAACCCACAGAAAATATAAAGGAAAGGATTAATAAATATGCATACATAATTTTAAGACCTATATTAAAAATGCATTAAAAACATTTAAAACTATTGACAGAAAAAGGTTATTGGCACTATTGATAAGAAAAAATGGTGTGGTTCACATACACAATGGAATATTACTCCTTTTGTGATAGCATGGGTGGACCTAGAGAGTATCATGTTAAGTGAAATAAGGCAGTCAGACAAAGACAAGTACCATACAATTTCACGTATATGTGTAATCTAATGAACAAAATAAACTAACAAACAAAATAGAAGCAGACTCATAGATACAGAGAACAGACTGACAGCGGTCAGAGGTGAGGGTGTTGGGAGACTGGGTGAAAAAGGTGAAGGGATTAAGCAAAGGAAAAAAATACCTCATAGACACAGACAACAGCATGGTGATTACCAGAGGAAAAAGGGGGTGGAGGGGAGGTAAAAAAGGGTCTAGAGGGGATAAATGGTGATGGAAGGAGACTTGACTTGGTGTGGTAAATACACATCTATATAATACAATACACAGATGATGTATTATAGAATTGTACACCTGAAACTTAATAAGATATACTTTTATTTATTAATAAAATATAATTTAAATAACCAATGTTACCCAATAAATTCAATAAAAAAAATTTTTAAAGAGAAAAATACAGTGATGATTTTGATAATGATTACATGATTTCATAATGACAAACATGGCAGTTTAAGTTTTTTGTTATTATTTTAGCTTCTTCTTTTACATCCATAACTCATTTCCTAAACCCATTTCTTCTAGGAATTACTTTTTCTACCTCTGTAATTTACCCAATAAATGTTCTCTTACAAAAAAATTTTTTTAATTTATTGGGCCAGATAAACAAGCAGCTCACCCTGGCCTGTGTTGCTCACTGGTTGGAATGTCTGCTCCAGCATCAAAGGGTCTAGGGTTCCATTCCTGGTCAAGGGTCCATACCTGGGTTGCAGGTTTCCTCAGGCCCAGGATGGGCGCATGTGAGAAGCAACCAGCTGATGTGTCTTCTCACATCAATCTTCCTCTCTCTTTCTCCCTCCCTCCCTTCCACTCTCTCTAATAGGGAAAAACAAAAACAAAAACAGAAGCAGCCCCAAAAGACTACAAAGGTCATGGTGCAGTCTCTGCCTCTCTGGACCTCTACCACTTGTCCTTAACAGTACAGACCATTTCATGCCCCCACTCCAATCTGACTGGCACATTTACTTGTATTTTCTTGACTTCAGATATGTTATGATGATTCATTTGTCAAAAACAAATCTAATTAACCTTTTAAGATGAGAACATGTCAACCAATTTTAAGGATTACTTAGTCTTAAATTTTTCTTGTATTTAAAATTTTTCTTTTCAATTCTCACAGTGGTTTTCTGTTTCATTTAAAATATCAGCCCTAACTGGTTTGGCTCAGTGGATAGAGCGTCAGCCTGCGGACTGAAAGGTCCCAGGTTCGATTTCAGTCAAGGGCATATTCCTTGGTTGTGGGCACATCCCCAGTAGGAGGTGTGCAGGAGGCAGCTGATTGATGTTTCTCTCTCATCGATGTTTCTAACTCTCTATCCCTCTCCCTTCCTCTCTGTAAGAAATCAATAAAATACATTAAAAATAAAATATCAGAATTACTTATGTTATATAAGGACGCCTGAACCTGTATAAAATGAACTAGTAGAATAAAAAATAAAACCAGACCACCCCCCCTCTCCCAGCAGCTTTGTAGTCTCCTTCAATTTGAGCTCTCACTTTCCATTTACCCAACTATTCAGCTAACACATTTTTGCTGGTACCATAATAGAGTTCAGAAAACACTGAGCATTTAAGAAGTACTGGATAATTTACTAGGGGAGGAGGATGTGGCATTATGGACAGAGAATTATCAAAGGGAAAAAATTTAATGTTACAAGTCTTATTTTTGTTTTGAGTCTTGCTGATTCCAAAATTATGATGCAAAAATAAAGGGCTCTTCTTGAAAAAAGGAAAAGCCTGATTATACTGGTGTTCTATCCAAAGATGTATTTTGGATGTCCTCTTATTTTTTAAAGACTTAATGAAAAGGCAATGATATGTTCAAGGACATAAGAACTCATCCAGGCCTCACTAGGGGTCTCTGGAGAACCTAAATCTGTTTTAAAAGATCAAACATCAAATAAGTAGAATATCCGTTTCTTTCCCTGTTGAAATAACTGGTACTAGATTTGCCCTTCAACTGTAAACAACTAGAAAACTCACAAAACATATGAATTAGCTGTTCTTAGACATTGGCCAGGACAGGGCAGGGCTGTGATATATGCAAGAAGGAAAACAAGGTGAATTTGATCTTTTGATTTAAGAAATAATAATCTTTTCAACAAACGGTGTTATAGTAATTGAATATCCATATTAAAAAAATTGAACCTCAACCCTTACTTTATACCTTATATAAAAACTCAAAATGGACCATATACCTAAATGTAAAAGCTAAAACTATAATTTCTTGAAGATAATATTTGCAACCTTGAGGTAGGCACAATTTCTAAGGTAGGACATGAAATCCCAAACAAAAAAAATTTAATAAATTAGATTTCATGCAAATTAAAAGACACTATTAAGGATAGAAAATAGATAAGCCAGTGACTGGGAGAAAGTATTCATAAAACATGTATTTGAACAAAGACTTGTATAGAATACATAAAGGACTCATAATTTAATAAAAAATTTCAAATAGGCAAAATAATTTTGAAAAGGAAGGGAGCATTTGGAACTCGTCTACATCATTGGTGGGAATATAGATAATACAACCATGTTAGAAAACAGTTTAGTAATTTCTTATAAAGTTAAACATGTACTTATCATATAACCTTACCATTTCACTCCTAGGCTTTTATCTATGAGAAATGAAAATATATGTCCACACAAAGTTTGTCTATAAATGTTCAAAGAAACTTTATTCATAATGGTCAAAGACTAAAAATGACCCAAATATTCTTAAGTGAGTGGATAAAAATATTATGATATATCCATATATTGGGATATTATCTACACTAATAAAAGAGAAACATGGTAATTAGCGTACGACCGCTACCCTTCCCATTGGCTAATCAGCATATCCTTATGCAAATTAACTGTCAGCCAAGATGGCGACCGGCATCCATGCACTGAAGCGAACAGGGAGGCTTGCTTGCTCCAGTGAC